GCAATAAAGACACTGTCCGGGTGTGCTACCAGGCTGTTATTGATGCTGCTGCTCAATTGTGCTAACGCTAGCTTAGCATTAGCATCTGGTGGAATGTAAACAGCGCAGATGTAAACGGCAGAAAATTCCCGAGGGAGATAGAATGGACGGCACTTTAACACCAACAGTTCTACCTCTGTACTGCACAGATGGCTGAAACTACAACTAGCAGTAAAGTTACAATCAGAGACCACACTTATGCAATCACTGGTGACCAACAGTTGGCTACAACACAATGCAGGATGAGTGCATCACATTGATTTATGTGGACGTAAATTAATCAAAGCCCAGCTGCCTCACAGAACAAACTCCTTTCGGCTATTTCTATGAGTGACCTTGACCTTACCCAGATCACAGGTTAAGGAAGGAACACTGACCAACTGGTCAAGCGACCAGTTCACCTCTTCACCACGAGTGTCTAGCACATGTCCCTTTTCTCCCCAACATTGAGGGTTTAATCCCAGACTCTGATTTACCAATGACAGCAGGAAGTCTTTCTGTGTTTTAATGTGAGGTCTGTGATTTTTTATTCAGCAGATGAAACCTTGTGCAGTGATTCCAGCTCATACTCTCCCCTCTCTGATCATTTAAAAAATGAAAACTGTCAATCAGAGTTGGCGCTGGATTTTTCTCTGCTCGGCTTTGAAGCAGGGAACAACTGCAAGCTAGATACTGTCATTTCATTTGATCAAACTGTGGCTGTATCAGCACATGCATTACTGCTTCAGTGGTTGAAAGCACACTACAGTGTTATTTTTAAGCCTTAGATCAAGCTTTGCTATAAGTCGGTCACATAGTTATGCCCCAATTAACTCATAACGCCCTGCGAAGCTGTAAAAGCACTGAGCCATGTTTGAGGCTTGGCTGTAATGAGCAGTGACTGCCTTCAAAAACTGGCTAAAGAAAGAATTACATAACCCTCCTACCTCTCATACAGTGTTATCCATACATCAACCACAGAGCTACAACAACCTACAGAGGCTTAAACCTAAAGCAGCTGAGCAGGACATTTAAACTGACGCATTTTACAGGCTGATGAGAACGAGCAGGGTGAAGCGAGCCTTTCTGATGCCAGTCCGATAAAACAATCTGCCTGAATACAAAGGAGACGGGAAGCTGAGCTGGAAAGCAAATCATTAGGCATGTGCAGCATAGTAATTACAGCAGATGCCTGCACTTACTGATCTCAGTTTCTCCCACCAGCGTGTTTACATATTCAGCAACGCCAGTGAGGCGTTTGCTTGTTTAGTTTTATCAAGAAACAAAAAGTAAAATACCCGAGGACTGGAGGTCACGAGGGTTACGCCGCTGCCTTTGATCTGCCTTTGTAGTTTGGACCTCAGGCCCTTTGTAAAAGTTCAGAAAACAAAGATTTTATTACAGTTTCTCATATCATCCACGACACATTCATGGAATCCATCCTTTTCTCAGATCTCTGAACACAAAACCTTTTATAGCAGAAAACCTCACAAGCCCGCCAAACAGCTTCATCTGCTCAACATCAAACAAAGGTTTCAAATCTAGAAAGCAAGCACTCGAAATAACGCCACTGAGCATTTCACATGTCGAAATATTTAAATGGTGTATATATAGCAGCTGGTTCAGTTTAGCGTAGTGGTAAGACTACACGCCTTTGAAGCGGGAGTTGTAAGTTTGATTCCCAGCTGGAACATCTGTATCCTGTGAGGGTGCTGGGCTGGAAGACTTGGTAGTAAGCCCTAAGTGCGATCGTGATATCGGCTATGGACGGCTATGTGCGAAGATGAAGCCCAAGCGGGGCTCTTGCTAGAACCTCAAGCTCTTTATTCACAAACCAGGTGAAAACAAGTGGCAGGAAATTAATAACCAATTGTAGCTCAGGAAGTAAAGCATGGAGGATAGTTTGATTTGATTTCCAACACAGGATGCAGACAGATGTTACACACACTCCTCAGAGTAGTTGAGGAAAAATGTGGGCAGAGTTTTTGTAGTATTTAGAACATTTGTCCCAGACCCAGCATTTGGAATTGTAGATGAAATTGAGGCACCACCTTCATCAATTACCCTAAAAAAACCCAAAGGATTTGATTTAAATGTCTCTCTTAATGCTTATTTTTTTTAAAGTAAATGTTTATGGGCTTTTGTTGCTTCTATGTTCCGCTGATGTGCTCCTACATTACGTAACAAAGCGTTGCTCCGAGCATCGTTCACGTGTTTGGTTCGTCTCGGTGTCAGCAGCAGTTTGTGCTGAGCTGCAGAGACGAGAGGAGGGCTGTGCTCAGCCCTAAGACAAGAGATTCGCTCGAGCAAAGCGTGGCTTGTCCTGAGGCAGGAAGTGAAGAGACGGACTGAAGAGGAGGAGTAAAAGACAGTTTGTGTAAGATTAAAGAGGCAAATGTTGGGCTGCTGTGTCCTTATAATTTGGTTTAAAATGACATTTTTACATTAAAAACCCCAACAAAGCATTGGGGTTTAAAAAATTCTTATCCATTTGTTACTTTTCTGACTCTGACCTTGTCCTTTTGTTGGAAGGATCTTAATATGGAAAAGTTCAACAAGCAAGTCATCGAAAGATCAAAATGAACCAATGAAAGTGCAAAGGAAATGTTTCATTTTTAGCTCATGTGATGATCACAGCTGTGACTAAAGGTTTAGTTACCATTTCTTTCACTGGAACATCCAAACAGTCCAACTGAAGTTCAACGTTCGGATTTCTCAGGCCATCTAAAGGAGATGGGGGTCTACGCGCCTGGATGCAGCTTCTGCAGGCATACTAACAGTGTCTTCTGATTAAATGCTGAAAATTTCCATTTTCTCATATTCAAATGACCTCAAACAGCACAGCTGCACATGCAAAAATAACGCCATCGCTATGCCACTACCGCCACCACCGTCTCCAACAGCCAGGCTTTTTGAGCAGGTGAGACCAGCAGCCCGATGATGATGATGATGTGACAAAGCAGAGGTGTAAGAAACTCCCAAATATAGAAGCCATCTCTGTGACACGAAGGCTATTTCTATCCAAATGAGTCAAACGGAGCTTCAGATATAAACTGTTGAACATAAGCGATGCAGCAGCTTGCGGCCCACATGTCCTCTACCACCGAGGAACAACAACTCTGAGACGATCGGTGCAGGTCTATAAAAATCAAAGCCTTATCTGATTTAAGTTTGGCCCGGCTCACCTTCAGGGTCACCTTCTCAGGCCTTACTGGACATTTTTAGATCATTCCCTGGAAGTCCTGTTCAGAAAGCTTTCAATGGTAAACATCAACACATTTGGTTGAAACTGAAGAAGCTGACATGGCTTTCATGTGGAGGATCATCTCTGGTAATGAGAGCCCCATCTTCAGCTACAATTGAGTTGGTTTGAGCAGCTTTGAAGCCAGATTTGAGTCCGTTTGAGTTTATCTTCTTCCCGAAAATGAAAATCAAGCCCATCGCAAGTTAACTAGTGATGACAACGGGGCTTCTGAGACATCTAAAATAGCAGCCACGCTAAGAAACCACAAACAGAGGCCACCAGATTTGACCCAGCCTTACGATTTGGTTATCTGGCGTCACTTTAACATCTGGAGTCAGGCTAAGCAGTCATAGAAAGGTGGTTATTATCTTGACAAGCAGAGTGTGTTCACATGAAAGCAACCGCGCCAGCAGCATCTGACCAATCAGACACATGGACAGGTAGCAGCAGAGCCACTGATCAGCACTTCAGACTGTGTGTAAAAACTAGTCCTGCCTTCACACTAACGCCCACAAAGAAAAAGAAAGATGTTACAATAAAGAAGTTAACATTACTGAAATTAAACTCGCGTCTTACTTATTGGTTACAAATACTTTGAAGACTTGGAGTGAAATAATCTCCTACGATCGTCTTCTATTAAAGAGAGTTTGTTTCTGATCGTTAAACTTCAGATACCAGCAGCAGGATGTTTTCAGTTGTTTATCAGCAGAAAGACTTAAAGTCTGAGAATAAAACTCTTCAGATGGTTTTTTGCCGAACTCACTACCTGCCCTGCAGCATCAACCATTTTGCTCCTGTGTGGGAGCAGGAATGAAATTTCGGCATGAACAACATTAATAAACTTGGCGAAGCTCAAAATCATTCGTGCATTTCCAGTTCAAAACACAGACGAGGCTTCAGTTTAACAGACTTTTATTATATAACTTTAACGATTTAGTAATTAATTAAGAGGAAGTGCAGGCATGAAACCAAACGGACCGTTTCCTTAAAAGCTTTTTAAACATTTCAGTCCGGTAACGACAAACACAGACGGACAGTCAAAGCTGCACTAGGCCACTCCAGCACTGCTAAAGGGTCAATTCACCCAAATCACAACTGATCATTATTATTATTAATTTTAATATTATTGATAATGATATTATTATCATTATTGAGGACAATGCATAGACCCTGGCAAAAGTTAAATCACATTTTTGATTTTTTTTTACCCATTCGCTGAACTTTTTAATCACCAAAACCTCCTCAGGCTGCCTGTTTTGGAAATTCTGACGTTTTCTCTTAGATTTAAAAAATTTGTTTTATATTTTAAAACTGTTTATTTTCATAGCTGCTTAATATAGCTTCCATTGTATTGCAAAGGCTGAATACAACAGCTGAAATAAACTGTAATTGCCCTTTAGCTTTCCAAATTCATCATTATACAAACAACTGAACTGGTTTTTGTCTGGGCTCAGCATCGGTGGTATAGAGTTAGTTACTAGTAATACAAACATTTCCAAATATTTTTCCTGGAATTAAAAAAATTCTTGTGCTCACCAGAGACGTTTTGGCCAAAATTAAAATCACCAGGACTGACAAAACTATTCAAACCAATTTTTAAAGGTGAAGTTTCTCACACTTAAGACACAAAACACTTTCGTTTATCACCTAGCCTTAAATAACAGGAAATTGATAGAAGTCAGCACTGACTAACTGCTGTTTACTGGGCTACAGAGCCCGACTGACTTTTGCCAGCAGGTGGCGCTAATGAATTGACAGTTGAAAAAAAATAGACCTAAAAAAAAAGACTATTGAAAGTTGATGATAATTAAGGGGCTGGCAAGAAAGCAATGTTCACGCTTAAGTCAGAAAAAATACAAACTTTAGGAATTTAAGTGTAAATTTCTTCCCAAATATACAATAAAATGAGATATGATGTCATTCTTAGATTACAGGGAATTGCAAGTTTCTGCCTTGTAAAATTCACATAAATCATAAATCTTCCATCTGCATTTCTGATTAAACTAATTTTTGGGGTGCAAATTTACTTTACTACCATAAATATTGTAGATTTTTTAAAATACATTTATTAATTGGGTGTTTTCTCAATTGCAAGGGTTTTTTGCCTTTTGTAAAACTCCTAGCATTAAAAGTAAAATCACCCACCTCAGCTATGCATTTAATCCACCCCCTTCAGTGGTAATAATATTCTATCATGTATCCCAGAAGCTTTACATTTATATCTTAGTTCAGCATTTTCCCATCACCCAAATTTCAAACCTCTAAATAAACGTGTGATTTGACTGAACCGACCCTTTAACTTTCCTTTATTTTTATTATTTTAAAAAAATCCTTCTATGTGAGATAAACACTGATAAACATCTTTTTGGAGAAAAACAAACTCCTGACACCGCTGAATGAAATGTGCTTGACTCTGGTGAATGTGCAGCTTGTTATCTCCATCAGCGAGGACAGGACGCCCTCGTTTCTAACTGTGAATCTTAGCTTAGTGCAGCTTTATTTAAATTTAAATAATTTAAGTAGAAAAGGGAAGAACAGACGGACATAAATAACAGCTGAGTAATAACTAGTAAAATTAGACTATAAAGTGCATCATAGCAAACAGCCGTGCATGCAACTGGAGGAAAATAAATTATGTTATGACTGAACAGGAATAGAAAAGTAGTACAAAAACAGTAGAAAAAAGTGGCCTCATATAAAGATATTATACTCTATACCGTACATCAATAAAGCTTATTTAAACTCTAACGTAATGTTCAAATTATAAACTATCTTTGTGGCTAGTCCAAGTGTGGATCTCCAAGAGGAGGAATAAATAAACACAAACCATCTCAGCTCAGTCCAGTTGGGGTAAGTGCCTGTTAAAGACCTACAGAAACAGAACCAAAGACACTTCTTACTGAAAATAAACCCAAAGTGGCCGCCTGCTTCCATCTGTCTGCCGTGATGGGTGAAACCTTACCAGAAGGTTTGTTCTTCTGCTCGAGCACACACGTACTTTAATTAGTGTTTGCAAAACAAGGGGAAAAAGAAAGATTAACAGCTGAGGTGAAGTCAGGCAGCTCCCGTCGCACCCTGAGGAGATCTGAGGACACAAACACAGGAGGACGACGTCAGGCAAGGACACGATTTTTTTCTTTTTAACGCTTTGAATTCACCTTATTTGGATACGTGACACAACTTTTGGTCCTAAATAAGCTCTTCAAAGTCCCCAGATTCCATTTATCAATTTAAAATGCATTAATAAACAGTGTTAGCACTGCTGCACATCCAGCCCACACACCCACAAAAAAAGGACTCTTAAACCCAAGTTTCATGTCCTGGTTTAAAATAAAAGTAAAGGTCGACAGTACAAACCTCCAGTGCCCTCATGTGTCCTCTGTGTCACCTCTTCTGCTGTCTGGTCGCACTTATGAACAGTTTGTTCTGTTGGAGACAAACGAACATCAGCCGCAAATAAAATGCCAAAATCAGGACGTTCACAAAAACAGCTCAGAAAAACAAAAAGAAGTGCAAACGTTTAACTCGTGCTGAGCTTTTAGACAGCATCAGCTACGAGGCTAATGCTAATGGGGTCAAATGCTGCAGTTCCTCTAACGTCCACTTGAGGCTTCAACAGCGAGCCAGTCCCCAACGTGCAACTTTACAGCAGAAATAAACGTTCAGCCTGCTACAGGGTCCAGTTTTGACCTCTGGTTTCATCCTACAGCAGGTGGACTGCTTTCTAAGTCAGCTGAGGCTTAAATTCCAGATGTGGCTGCTGCGACTGACACACTTACTCAAACTCCAGCGCCTCGGACTGCAGCTGGCATCGGCAGCGCTTGTTCTGCTCTGTAGATCTTCTGCAGGCTCGAGGGCCTCGTGAAGCAGGTGGAGCAGAACAAAGACTACTGCCGCCAGCTGCAGTTACAAGACGATGGAGTTTGGGAAGAAATCCACTGGAGAGACAGCAGTTTAAATGAATCAAAGTAAGACCTCCTTATAACCATTTAATAAGGCATTTAAGGAAAAGACACTGGACATGCACTTTTGATTTTAACTCTTCTGTTAAATAATTTAAAAAAAAACCAAAAAAAAAAAACCAGACTAAAATGTTTTAATATCCAGTTAAATTTCAAACTGCTTCTTTGGCCTCGCTGTGTGTAGCATGTGGAAACGTCCCTCTACTTTCACACACGCCTTTAAACATCTGCAAAAAGCAGCAACAGTGACCCCTGCAGGCCAAGCAGCTCCTCACACTCCACCTCATTGCTATGTTTTTACCTTGTGCTCTGGACATCTCATTGAGAAGTTTTCCTCATTGAGGACACAGCCTGGAAAAACAAAAGCAGGACATGAAATAACCAAAGGAAAGTCAGTACTGAGCATCACCGAAGTGCTGAACTCGTACCCGACTGGATGGCACATCTGTAGTGATAATTCCTGGGGCAGCCCTTCTGGAAACAGCCCATTATTGCGCCTGTTTGCTGGCAGGTGGAACAAATCTAAAAAAAGAAAAAAGAAAAAAAATATTTAAAAAAATATTCATATATTTATTCTGGCTCTCTGATAGAGTAGCTCTGCATGATTAAACAGTTCAGAATAATCCATATTTATGGCTGGCTCTCAGAACAGACATCTCCTCCTCACTTTAAGCCAGCTTTCTTCTGATTGGCTGTGTGTCGGAGATGACCCCATGAGGGATATCCACTGTTTATGACATCACACAGAGCCATGAGAAGAAAAGAAAAAAAAAAGTCTGTACCTCAGTGTTTGGGCTTTGAGGAGCTACTTGCTCATACACTGACCTCATAATGTGAAACTGTGAATGTTCATAAGAAACACGACCATCTTTGGGACTTTCAATAGATTAAAAAAAGAAAATCGTGTGATAAGGATCATATGTTCTCAGAACTTACCGTTTCCTGCGCGAGCCGCGCTCCCTCCTCCAACCCGTACAGCTTTCCTCGGATAAGGAAGACGCCGGCAGACCAGATGCCGCAGTCCTCGTGGATCCAGCACTCATCCAGGTGAAGAGGCACCTTTGGGGAGGCGTTGCCATCAGCAGCTCTGCTGTCGTCTGAGGGATTTACCCCTCGGCTTTTAGAGAGTCCGTTTAGCTCCTCCTTCTGGGCGTCCACGCTGGGATAGTAGGGGCCGTGAAGGTCCCCGAGGCCCATGACGTTGGCGGTGTGGCCGCACAGACAGCAGAACAGCGATGACTCGCACCGGCTGTCTGAGCTGAGCCGACCCGGCTGAAAACAGGAAGTGTTGGGAACAAACCCGGACAGAGACTTGCAAGCAGCCCGCCGCCCTCCTTCGCTGCTCCGAACAGTTGCCTCCTCCTCCCGGTAGTTGACCACAGTGCACGCTCGCCGCTCCAGGTGAACAAACGGGCAGAAACCGCCCGATTTCTTCTCCTTTTTGTCCTCTTTAGTTTTCACATATTTGAGCTTGATCTCAGTCTCTGTCGGAGAAAACAGAGACGAAGGCCCAGTCTGACGGCGGCGTTTCCTCCGCCACCTTGCGACAGTTTTTTTGCTCGCCACCGCACTCCTACAGGCTGAAGCATTCTGGTGCGGTGGCGGCGATGGTGGCGGGATCCTACGCTTCTGTTTTGTTCTTCTTAACTTTTTTGTTTTAGGAACTGCAAGCGGCTTCTTTCGTTTGTGATTAACGGTTTTTGCATTTGAAGCTTCGCGCTGATGCTGTGTCTCAATCTGCGGGGACTTCCTGTCTGTCCCAACATCTGCGTCAGACTCCTCTGAATGGCTTCTTGCTCTTTGTGGCGACTTCACCAGCAACTCGTCTGAGCTAGACACCCTCAAGACGTAGTCCATCACTTCATCGGAGTCGCAGCTCTCGTTGTATATACCCACAGCGTCGTGTTTGACTCGCCTGCTCAAGCTATGACGAGATACGTTACAGGTGAGCGGCGGGATTTCTGAGGCCGGCCTTCGTATCCTAGCGCTGCGGCGGACTTCGCTTTGCGGCGCTTTTTCGCTCTCACTCTGAGGAGGAGGAGTCTTCTGGTAGCATTTGTTTTTCTTCTTCTGATCAGTGACAGAAACTTCGATGATGTCGCTGTCATCGCTGGAGATGTCGACCGCAGATTCAGCTGTGTTGGCGTAAACGGCACCGAGGTCGGATAGGAGGACGACGGGCCGGGTGTGATGTACAGGAATGTCCACCGAGCTGTCCGAGGAATCTTCCGAGTACGAGCTGTCAGGGCTGGGTGAGCTCAGAGGCTGAGGTAGGTGGTAGCACGCTCGCTCTTCGTCGAGTGAGGATGCGGCGGGGGACAGGGGCTCCACCATGTGTGCCACGCCGTCCTGCATGAAAGAGCCGCACAGGAGCGGCTCCTTCGCAGCGGACACGAGGAAGATGACATCAGAGCCGCTGTCGCTCTCCTCTCCGCCGCTGCTTTCAGGAACGGGGCCACCGCTCTGCTCGGGCCCACAGAAACCCCGATGCCACAGGCTGCCACGGACTCCGTCGTGGTACAGATCCAGCCCTGGACCAAGCGTCGAGTTCATGTAGCCCCCCAAAGACTCTGGGCCGTCCTCCATGTCCCTGCAGCGCACGGGTGCTCCTGGCTGCGTGGAGAGCGAGCCGTAGGAGGAGGAGGAGGCTCTGGATCTGTACGAGGAGGCGAGATCTGTGCTCACTGGGCGTCTGTGGTACCACTCGGGCTTCTTGGCCAGGTCCATGGCTTCAGCGTGGCTGCGGGTCAGTGGGTTGTAGCTCTTTGACAGGTCCATCGCCATGAGAGGAGGATCCTGGGAGGACACATCCATCACTGCAACACACAGACAAGCAAAACCCTGTGATCCAGTTAGCACAGCTTCCCAGTGATTAAAAAAAACACCCCAAAAACACACAGATTGAAAACTGAAAACAGTCACTGGAAAACCAGAGCAACTGAAACTTTAAGAGCTGTTTTGTTAGTGGGTAACAAATAAGTTAACATTTAAAGCCACGTGTGCAACTTAAAGAATATTTATGGAACAGACAAAAACAATCAGTTCAGTGTTGGTAAACAATGGATGGTCATATGATCTGTTTGTTATTAATATGAGTTTACAGGTAAATGGTATAATAAAAAAATAAATAAAAAAAATGTATTAGAAAATAAGCATACAAACGCAGATATGCATAGACCTTTATAGCATGAACACATTACGATAAATCAATGAAAACATTTATTTATTTTTAAGTTTCTGCTGTCAGTCTCCAGGATTATCAGTAACAGTGATTGGCCCACAGTGACACTGTAATCCATCATTCAATTACACTATCCTTCTTTTTGCCTTTGTACAGCTATGACTGATTACAGACTGACCTTGATGCATTTCTGTTTTGTATTTTTGAATCATTTCCCCCCAAAAGCCACGCAATCAATAAAGTTAGACACGAAGTATCATTCCTTTTTTTAATTTGCATTTTGTTCTTTTTTTTTTTTTACCCGTGATAATCGTGACATGAAAACCAGCTCCTATCCAAGAAATATAAGACGATAAAGGATTTAGTTTCACAGTATCGTCCTTTCTCAATCAAATTTCGATGTAGATGTAGCTTACTATTATTTTATTTATTTAGCCGGACAAGCAGTAAAATATAAGCTACTTTTAAACAATACACAGGAAACAAATGTAAATATCACAATAATTTATATCTGATGACTAAGGATATGGCTTTAGTGACTGATGGATGAGAAAAAAACCCCAACTAATTAATCGATAAGTTATGTCAGCTTTTCCTCTAACAGGTAGGCCCGTTCACTCAGATGCCTCCTAAAACCTGCCTGTTACAGATGTTTTGCTGTTGTCAAACAGCTGGGGATCTTACCCCTGAGGTGTTGGCGGTTGGGGCGGACCTCCCCGATCCTGACACTGCGGACTTTAGGGTGACACCTTCCCCGGAGCAGCGCGAGTAGCGCGGTTAGCTAACGCAGCTCTCCAGGCCCATGGCCCGGACTGGATGTAAACAGCAGCGACGCCAGCCCCAGCTCATGCTAGCCGGACAGCAAGCCGACGTCGGCCCGCTACGCTGCTCCGAAACGCAGCCGATACTTGACGCGACGATGACCCGTGAACATTTCCGCGGAGGTGAAATCCACCAGGTAAACCCCGACCTGCTGCTACCATCGGTATTTTAAAGTTGTCATCATGGACGTCTCTTCCCTCCTTAGTCAAGCGACCGCGAAATAAAGCGGAAGAGAAGGTGGCGTCTTCAAAATAAGAGCTTCAGGAAACCGTCAACATCTATTTGTATTTCAACTTTGTGTCACCTTTACAGTCACACCGAGCTCAGCACTTCTGTTTTGTTTGATTGAAAACTTTGTTTGTAATCGTGACTTCACCAAAATATCTGTTACTCTTGTTTTTTTGATCATTTTCTTTTTAGTATGCTTATACTGAAGACTTATTTCACACTTTACCAAACTACTGTCCCATATCACCCAGAACATCCCCCAAAAAACTACAAATGTGCAGCTCTATGGGCGATTGTTTCTGCCACTTTTGTGGTGAAGACTTTTGTGGGAAAAAATGTGCCGGAAACAAACTTCCCTAAAGTATAGAATTTTGCATATTAATAATTTATTAACTGCATTCTTTTCAATAGTACCATGTAAAATGATGTTCATGGAAATCTAAAATAAACTCCTACGTCACACAAATGGGGCTTTTATTGTGAAATATTCACTTGGAAATCACCTTTAGCTTCCAGGTATCTTCACTCACTCCTTCTAGCTTTCACATTCTGATTCTTATTTACTGCTGCGTCTTCACAAAATGTCAGAATAACTTAATAAAAAAACTGTTACATTTTTATCTATTTATTTTTGGTACAAATTATTGCTGTTTTTTATTTTAATTAGAAGCTAAATAACGAAACATGTAGCTCTATGATACGGAGGGCCACAACTGCCAAAATAAAGGTAAATGTGTTGATAAAAACTTCTTATATACAGTGGTCCCTCGCTATAACACAGTTCACCTTTCGTGGTCTCATAATTTTTTTTGTGCAATTTTGCATCCTTTTTTCTTTCTTTCTTTTTTTTTTTTTTTTACAGCGACTGTGTTCTGCGTCCTGATTGGCTGCAGACCATTGTCAATCAATCTCGTGCTGTCCAGTACAGATGGCGTTCAGCTTGTCAAATTTACATAAATCTTCGATGCTAGCAGTGTGACTCTGAAGTGCTGTACTGTATGTTTGTAAGTTTTCTCCCCAACAAACACAAGAATGTCCATGAAATGTTTTGCACCGTCATAGGCTCCTGCGGGTGCCTTTGGTTTCATTCTATACTACTGGACTTATTTTTCTACGAAGGTTTGAACTTTAAGAGTGTTTAAACAAGAGAGAAAATTCTGAAAATGTTCGTGCCTGTATGAGTAAAGTGTATAAAGTGTGTAGTGAGGGGTTTTACGGCCTTAAAACATCCATAATAATTGTAAAAAATAAAGTTGGCTACTTTGTGGATTTCACCTATCGCGGGTTATTTTTAGAACATCACTCCCGAGATAGCTGAGGGACCACTGTATAGGAACCCAGTGCAATAATGAAAAGCATTTTACCTTTAGCACAATGGAACACAACATCGCTGGTTCAATGAGACAAATTCATTTAATAAAAATAATAGTTTTACAATAAAAACACTGCAGTGTTAAAGCCTGAATACAAATATAAATTACAGTGCAGCTGTATCAGCCAGGAAAGGAGTTTAATTTAAAATATTTTCCTAAAATGACAAACAACAAAACAAATATTTTACAGTTTTTTATATGGTAATATTCAGCAAATACAAACACATCACAGATTCAGTGTCAGAAAGGTTAAAGCAGTAAAAACATCTTTATCTCTATAAAAATCTGAAGTAAACTGTGGGGTGAGGTGGCATATAATGAGGAAATAAAACTGACAAGTCGTCACGGCGACGTCCGTCCCAGCGCCTGATGAGCCAGCCTCAGGTTTTCTCTCAGCTCGTCTGCCTCTCGCTCCGCTTTTGCCCGAACGATGCTCAGCTCCGTGTACATGTCCTTGTACTTCTTTGTCGCGTTCCTCTTGTCCTGTCACACCAAAAAAACAAACAAAATCTGGTTTATTTAGCCGTTTCGTCCACTCGATTCGATCGACTCCAGGCACAGATCACCCTCAGTCCTAATTAACACACTCGAACCCTGCAAGTAAGTCACCTGTACACAGATCGTGACTACAGCTAATGTTTGGAAGCCCCGCGCTGGTAGAAGCAACATTATCTGCTTATTTAGTCTGATAGTATGAGCTGTTCAGGCTCAAGCACTCCCTCGGTTCTCAAAATCAAACACTGAGGTTTAAAAACAGATGAAACTCTGCAGCACGGACTGGTTAACTAGCAGATTACAATATTATTATTAGTAATATTTGTATTATTAGTGCAGCTGCTGTGAAACTGACCCTTTGAGCCGACTGCAGCTCGTCCTTCAGAGACGTGATCTCCTGCTTCAGACACTGGACCTCAGACTCCTTCACTCGCAGCGTGATCTGAAATGAAATGTGTTTTTAACCTTTGAGTCGGCTCACGAGCACATTTACATAGTTTACATATTGTACGTGTGAGCCAATCATGAAAAACCATCATTCTTTATGTGGAATCACCAGAGTGGGTGTAATTTCAGTTTTTACTGCAGTTTGTGTTGATGGAGCCAGAGGGTATCACATGCCGAGAGTTGACACCAGCTCCAGAGTAGCTTTGCATGACTCACAATTCAAAAGAATCCTTATTTTTCTGATCCTGGGCCTTGGTGCAGCCTCAGGTTCATCCTCTCCCTGAGGTCCTCTTTCTTTTAAAGCCACCCACCTTTATGCAAGCCTTCTTTTGATTGGCTGCCCCTCTATTTGGACAGCAAAATAGAGGGTGGGACTTCTTCTTACTCGGTCCTTTTTAATAACTTTGAATGCTGGAAATAAAGCCGTGGCTAAAATCCTCTCGATGACCATGCAGTAGCCGAACTCACCTCCATCTCGTACACGTCCATCCCCTGACTGAGCGGCAGAGCGTCCTGTTTGGCGAGCGTGCACAGTCTGGTGATCTCTGCTGCCAGGTGGCCGCTCAGCTCCTGAACAAGTAAAAGTGAAAAACAGGAGAAACGATCAAGCTGCTTCACCTCTGACCTCAAAAACACTTTTTTAAAAGTATTTGGAGACATGTTTAAACCCCCACAGCGACAGTCGAGCTCACACCTCTGGTCTCACTGGAGTCTGTGAATATCTTTCGCCTGTTTTTTGACTCCTGCAGCTTTTATTCACAGTGAACAACAGCTCAGCTTTTTAATGTGCGTGCAAAAGATTGTAAAGCCACAAACACTCAAACAATGAATGATTTCTGACATGATCCAAGTACAAAAGTCCATGAATCTACTTAGGAACAGTAAAAACACTGAATTATCCCGATTAGTGTTTCACCAAAGTGTAAACAAAGGCTGCATAAATGGACCTAAACAGAGAACAATCGTCATGTTGAGATTTTTACGATGGCGGCCGCAGACTTAGACGCTAAATCAGAAAGCTGCAGAGGAAAATGAGAGTGATCTGAACTGTCTTTAAATTTCAGGATGTCAGAAGTAGCCGTTAACGGCCTTCATTGTGCGTCTCACCTGGTTTCTGGTCCTCAGGTCCTGGTTTTCCTGCTGGCACTGGCACAGGGCCTTCCTCTCGGCATCCAGAGCCTGGACCAGATGTCCGTTCTCCAGACACTTCAGAGAAAACTGCTGCGATAAAACCTCGAGCTCCCGCTGGCAGGAGGCCAGCTCCTCACTGCAAAGACACACACTGAGAGTCACAACCTATCCGTATTTTCTCTGTTCAGCTCTCCTGTCGGCACACCGAGGTGTTCCCAAACCAGCTGACAGACTCGATCTGTACTGGGCCTGCACCGGGTCCCAAACCCCTCACTGGCATCCTGATCACATGCCTGAAACACCTCAGCTGGCTCCTTTTGATGCAGAGGAGCAGACAAAGGTGCCAATTCTCATCACTGCTGCTTCCCACTCAACTGCAGCGGTTATGACAGGGTGCTGGTTCCCAGTCTGGATCCAGTTTCACTCATTTCCATCAGAAAATAGACTGATTTAGAAAACTGCTGGGAGTATGAGAGCCTGCTGTGATTTACATGTTCTATGTTATGTACGAGCACCTCCTACCTGCCTTCACGGAGGAGGGCAGGTAGGATTTTTTCGGGCTCTGATTGTTGAAAAAAAAATATCATGGGATTTAAAACATTTGCCAGCCAGTTCAGTTCAGGCTCTGCACCAGCACCGTGTTGGTGGGGAAAAGGTTTCCTGTGGATTCTGGCACAGAGCTGTGAGCTGCAGGTGCTTTTGTTCTCCCTGTAAAAAACATCTTTGACCACCAGAATCAAAAGTCTGCTCTTTGTCCTGACGCCGGCCTGCGGTGATGATTTTTCCAGAATGACATTTTGGTTTAACTCCAGTGTTTCCCTCCTGTCTTGTAAAACCTGCTGGGATGCTCACGTACCTGTGCTGCCTGTGGACTTCCTCCAGGTTTGAGAGCCCATTGCTGTTCTCGAACTCACATCTCCTCTGCACCTCCCTTTGCAGCTCCAGGCGGTGAGCGTTTTTGATGGCTTCGATCGCTGAGAGGAAGAGGAGGAAGTCTGAATATTTGAAACTGAATCGATTTTGGGCAACACCTCATCTCTTACTGGGCGGTTTCCCTCACCTGTTGCAGTAGCAGCACTCTCCTCCTCTAATAGTCTGTCCCTGTCCACCAGGAGGCGCTCCACTTCCTGTTTGTGTCGACGCTGCAGCCCCTCAACCACCTTCAGGTGAGATTCCTCCATGGAGGCGAGTCCACGCTCGCAGGTGACCTGCAGGCACAGCGGACGCTCACACAGGTCACACACAAAGCTCGTGACAGGAAGTCAAACAAAAGTGGATGAAAGCGGCACCTACCTTCAGCTTCTCCGTCTCTTTCTCGTGCTGTAGCTGCACCAAAGTCATTTTGTCCTCTGAGACCGTCAGCTGCTCCTCCAGCTCCTCCACCTTTCTTCTCAGAGCTGAAATCAGCTCCACGTTTCCATCTGGTTCATCGCTCTCCTCTAAGCTTTCATCTGAGACCTTCTGTGGGATTTCCATCTCATCTATCAATTCCTCCTCCTCTTCTTCACTCTCCTCTGCGCCCTGAAGCTCCGCGTCCTGGAGGTAAATCTCATCAGTCTGGCAGCCTGCGTTCATCTTCGATGTGCGTCGTTGTTCAAGGTTTGACAGTTTTGCTTTGAGGTCCTCGTTCTCCTCCCGGAGTTTGGCGCATTTTGAGCAGTTGGCGTATTTAGCCCAAAGCCTGCACAATCGATGGCGGTAAAGTGCTTCGGTTGCCGCCGAGTAAATGAACGACGCTATCCAAGGATGATCTGAAGAGTGAAACTCATACAGTCTGTCTGCTGTCGGCTGGAGTTCCTCGTGCACGGCGGCGGCGCTGAGGGAGGCGGCGAGCTGGTCCAGCATAGACATTTTAATCTGTGTGACGGCTTTGAAACGCTCAAAGTCACTCAAGTCACTCATGCCGCTCTCCTCCTCCGTCTTCGTGGTTTCCAATGCTATATCGTTAGCCTCGCCCTCGCGTCTGCCCTCTCTGCCTTCCTGCGCCGCCACCTCCTCGGTCTGAAGCAGACGGTGGCCTATGAGCAGCATTCGTGTCTCCAGCACCATCTGTTCTGCCGCCTCGCCGACCCGCACATCTGCGGACTCGATCAGCTTGGACGGATCCTCCTTCAGTTTCTTCAGCAGCAAACTCCAAAAAGCCTCCTCCCACTCCAGCTGGCTCACCACAGCAGGACTCCTCTCCCCCTCCTCCACCTTCGCCTCACCTCCTTCCAACGTGTCGATCGCCTCTAAAAGTCTCCCCAAAGCGCTCAGCCTTGCGACCATCCCCTCGATCACCTTCTGGGTCTTTTCCTCGGCAGAAACACTTCTGTCTCCTTTCAGCCTCTCCTTCTCTAACTCCTCATTCAGCCTCCTGATGTCAGCCTCCGCCTCCGCCGCTCGTTGGCAGGAAAGTTTCTCCGCTTCCTGCAGCTCCCTGCAGTTCAGCTCTGATTGGTCGAGCTGTCTCTCCAGCTCTGTCAGCTTGGCCTCGGTCGCTTCGAAACACCGCAGCAGGTATCCCTCCGGTTTCTCGTCCCTCTTCTTGTTTTCATCCTCTCCTACCGGGTCGCTCAGCTGCAGCAGGACCTCCGTCTCCCTCAGGGTCTCCTCCAGGGAGCTGATCAGCGTCTGGGCCTCCTGGAGCTCCTGGTTCTTCAAGTTCAGCTCCATCGCCAGATCTTCCACCCTGGTCTTCCCCTGCTGCTCCACCTCAGGGAGGTCACGGGGCTCTGAGTACCTGCTGCTGAGCTCCGCCTTCAGCCTTTCGATCTCGCGGTCTGCCTCCGTCAGCTGGTTCAGCATCTCCTGGTTGCGCTGGTTCAGAGCCTCGTTCTGGCTCGTGAGCAGCTCCACCTCCAGGGAAAGCTTCTCCAGGGTCACCTGATCAGGAGTCACCTGCTTCAGCTGGGACTCGTCTCCCTCTGCGGACTCATGGGCCCACGAGCCGAACTTATCCACCTGTGTCTCTGAGACAGGAAACAGCTGACGGGCGTCTGCGTGCAGCTGGTCCTGGAGGTCGGCTGTCCTGTCATCGAAGCTCATTCCCTCACTCTGAGAGTGTTGGCTGTCTGATGCAGGTGACAGTAAAGGTGAGGCTGCTGTCTCAGATAATAAATCCTCCAGTTCTTGCAGCTCGCCCCCTGTATCGCAGAGCCAGATGCTGGGCAGCTGTGGTGTTGGTGAAGGTGTTTCCTGGCCGAGCTGCTCCTTCATGTTCTGTCTCATGACGTTCTGCTGCTGCAGGAGCTCTCTGTACGCCTCCTTCAGGCTCTTCGTCGGGTCTTTGAGTGGCTTTTCTTTCATATCTGATGGGTAAAAATCAGCTTCAGGACTGACGGGAGAATCCAGCTGAAAAAAAAAAAAGGTCATAAAACTACAGAAACCCGACTGAAACAATCAAAGTCAGTCAAACACAACAAACATCAAACACCAAACACCAAAGAGTGTCTGAGATAAAAGCTGCTTTCTCACACCTGCTGATGTTGAAATCTTTCTGCGCTGAGCTGAGCTTCCAGTTCCTGTCGTCGATGCTCCGACTCCTCCAACTGAACCTTCAGATCTTCCACCTCCAATAACACAAAGTACACAAAGAGTTAATCTACACAGCCTCACACACCCTCCATCAGGTGAGCCTTACTTTTCATTTTATACCTGTATCGAAAAGAAACAGACAAACTGATCAACTGTGTCAATTAAAGATATACTTGCAATAATATCTGCATAATTACCTGTTTTTATGGTTTAACTTACACATCAACAGACTCTGAGACAACTTATCATTTATTTCTGGTCATGCTTCTTTAAAACTGAAAGTCCACTCACCGCCTTCCTGTAGCTCTGCAGCACCTTCTCCATCTCCTCTGCATCTCTCCCGTCAGAAAACAGCGGGACCGTCCTCTCCAGTCTGAACATTGTCTTCTCCACCTGCTTCCAGCACTCCTCCATCTCCTCCTCCATTCTCTGCTGCGATTTCGGACTCAGCGCTCGGACGCTGCCCTCCTTTTCTAGCAGAGAGAAGCCCAGCATCTTCTCATACCTCCTCCTCCTCTCCTCACGCCGCTTCCTTCGCTCCAGGTCACCCAGCTCCAGCGAGCAGGGGGATTTCTGTAGATCGGCGTCCACCGCCGGCTCGCTCTCAGGCTTGAATTCAGCCCAGTCGAAGGTTTTGTAGCGGCCTTCGCGCCGTCTTTCCGTCACGCTGCTGGCTTTGGGGTGAGGCTCGCTCTCCGAGGAGACGTCGGCCGAGGGAGAGTCCTGAGTCACGTCTGGTTTGGGGAGGACCTCAGGTGGGCTGCAGGGAATGTGCTGGCCAGGTAAACTGAGAACAGGATGATTTAAAATTTAAAAAGAATAATCAATCATTTTTATTATCATTTAAGTGCTTTTAGTACGTCAACGTTTTATTTTAGCTTCACCTTATCTTTCATCTACTTTTATCTCATCTTTAAATCACCTGTAAACACTTTAAACTGCACAACCTGCACAAAACCTGTTTGATTTGATTTGATCACCTGGCCACATCAGGGGCTTTGGCCGGATGGACGTTCTTCATCAGCGCCTGGATCCAGTTCTTTCGTATCCCCGCGGTCATCGCCGAAAGCGTGAAGACGCCCTTCGGTGTCTGCGACATAAAAACATGTAACTAACCTCCATCTTTAGAGCAGAACATGAAGTGATGACATGCAGAAGCGAAGACTTACGTGGATCTGAAAGCCGTAGTTTCTTTGCACCTGGTACTCAGACACATTGTAACACTTCATTAGGTTGATCTCTCCTTCCAGATCTGAGGCCTGTGAGGAGACGAAAGAAAACGTGGTGAAGATCTGGAAATGCACAAAAACTGTTTATATTCTACTTTATGAAGCCGGGTTTAAAGTACCTCCTCGGCCGTCGAGTCCTTGTAGTATCTCAGACTGTCAGTCGACAACACAAACCAATATTTCTTCCACTAGAGGGAAGCAAAGCACATTTCACACAGGCTGGTAAGATCCTTTAAATCATCACCACAACCTGAAACAGCCAGATTTGGATTACTTTAAAATGTTTACCTGGTCATTTTCATCCAGTTTGACCATCCAGCCTTTCTTGAAGTTTAACAAGTCTGGCTGTACAGAAGATAAAAAATACAAAGTTTGAATAAAACACACAGAAAAGAGAAGAGCTGAGACTGTTTGTTGCTTCCATCATTTATGACCAGTAGTTTACTTATGTGATAAATTTTAACACTAGACAAAGACAAACAGAGTAAATACAAAATGCAGTTTTTAAATGATTTGAAAAGCTGACTTCACACTCGGCCACACTGTCAGACCGGCTGGATCAAGAAATCGCTTAAATAAACCTGTCTGACAAAAAGCAGCTGCGATCTCTAGAAACAAAGTCACTGACATCTATCAGTCTCAAAGGGATACAAAGCCATGTCTGGGACTCCAGTGAACCACGGTGAGAGACAAAACTTGGAACAGCGGTGAACGTTCCCAGGATTGGCCGGCCTATCAAAATTATTCCAAGAGACAAAAGCATCCAGAACAACATTTAAAGGACTGCAGGTCTCATGTGGCTCAGTTATGGTCAGAGTTCATTATTCATCATTCAGAAAGAAACTGGGCAGAAATAGCATCCATGGGGGAGTTGAAAGGAGGAAACCACTGCTGACCAAAAAGAAACAAAGGTTTGTTTTTCTTTTGCCCAAAAACGTTTGGACGACCCCCAAGACTTTTGGGAAAAATTCTGTGGACTAATGAGTTGAGTTGACTGCCGTTACGTCTGGCGTAAAGCTAACACAACATTCAGCACCAACAGCCAAACATGGTGGTGGTAGTGTGATGGTCTGGGGCTGTTTTGCTCCTTCAGGACCTGGATGACTTGCCCATCGTGCTCAAAAAACAAAAACAAAATGAAGGTTTTGGAGTTTCGTAAGACTGAGATGTTTTTTTTTACCACAAACACTTGGTTGCACGGCTTGCCAAAAGTGGCACATTTGGGTGGCAGTTACTTCTACAGACAGGCCCAGGTAGGTTTAGATCGATTTTTAGTACTGTAGTATTTCCATTTGCAAAACTGAGGGCTGGGTAGGAGGGGGGAACTCCACACCATCTCATGTTTGAATCAGATATCAGTCTGAGCCTGACTGATCTGTAGGACTGTGTTTATTATGCCACAGGTCAGCAGGGTAGAGTTTCAGCAGTTGGAGGTTTGTCACACCTGCTCCACCGACAGCTTCTCTCTGTGTGTTTGCAAACGTTTTTGGTCAAAGCGAGTTTAAACGTGCCTGAAAAGGTCAGAACAGACGACGCTTCCCCTGATGTTTCCTTACAGGTAAGAGGAGGGTCTCTACCTCAGCTTTCTGCTGGGATCAGATCAATAATCAGTATCAGGTATGAGTAAAAAGTTGTGCTTAGAGTCACTTCTGGAAACTTCGAGGCTGAAACTGCCCTCGGATCAGTGGCTCACCGTCATGGCCGTGTCTGATGTCCTGCGGTCCAGAGACCTGGCTCTTCTCTGGGGAGGGGGGGCAACGAGAGAGGACGAATCTCCACACGACTGAAGTTTCTACAGAAGGAAAAAAAAGAAGCCCAAATTAAACTTATAAGAACTTCCCTCACAGGAAGGCTTTCACTGATGAGAAGACGTGACGCGTTTCCTCAATCAGGACGGAGGCTGTTTGCATGTGCTGCCTGCATTCCACCAACCAGAGTAACCGATAGTCTGGATGCTTGGCACAGACGTCAGCTGTGAGGATTAGGCCCGCCGCGGAGCACCACGGGGAGCCCGGCGGGCTTTTCTCCACTGCCTGTTAAACTCTCACTCGCTGAAGCGGGTCTGACCGTGGAATGCATGAAAAAGGTTTTAGAGGATAAATAATCCCCGGGACTCTGCAGCTTTTGTCTTACTTTTCAAAATGATGCTCCAAAACTCAGAGTGAGATTGCCGCACGCCTGTTATGATCAGATTTCATGCCGGCTCTAACAGCACGTATCAGACTCTGGATTACACGCATTAAGTGAAACAAGGGTCCCCTTTTTTTGTTTACTTGAGCCTCCGCTGTTCAAAAGATTCATTCTTCTTCCTTATATAACCACTTTAAAGGGGAAAAATGTCCAGTTTAATCACAACAAAACATTCTTTGTGTTTTTTTTCCTGGCATTTATATTGAAAAGTATCCAAAGCCGCGACGCGCGGAGGAGCGCGGCGCTCTGACTGCAGACAGAGCCGCTCCTCTGTTCCCTGAAGGCCTCCCAAAACCGAGGGGGAGGAAGTGAGGAAGAAGAAGAAGAGGCTGACTCGAGAATCTCCAGACAGGCTCTTTTGACCTTCTCATGACTAGAAAAACAAACGCACCCAAAGACACATAAATGAACGCGTGGGCCTAAATATTCTGCTGCTGCTGCTGTATTTAAAAAGTAAATCCTCTGGAAAAGGAGAGTGTGTTTAATCAAAGATTAACCGCGGCCACTGAGACGACCATCTGTGATTTAACAATGTTTCTGCAGCAGCTCCGGCTGCTGAAAACAACGATTTACTATGAAAGGAGCGAACAAACTAAAATAAAGAGCTGAAGGAAGCAGACTAATGTAATGCACTCACGCTGTTTACTCACTGTACACGACCAATTTAAAAAAGATCACCAGCTAATCCAACGTGTACATCTTTGAGCTGCAAGAGGAAGTCTGAGTACCTGGAGAGAGCCTAAACAGGCCTCGGGGGAACACGCGAACTTCCCACAGAAGTTCTCAAACTTGAGTGTCCATGCCACCTCCCCACCGGCCCAGCGGGGTGACAAACAAACCCATCAGTCTTTTACAGCTGAGGGGAAAAGAAACTTGCCTGGAGACGGCAGTGTGAGATCTGACTGTCCGTTATAAAATCCATTCATCCGTTTTTTTTACTGGTTCAGAGACACCTGTCCCAGGTGGGGTAGACCTCAGTCGGTTGGGGGGTGGGGTGGCAGTGAACCCGCTTAGAAATGTGAAGCCATGTGTGACCATTTTGGATGCGAGGATGGAGAGGAAAGTTGTCAGCTAAACTTTATGTGTACAATGCACAAACACAGACTTCTTGCACAGTCAGCACACAAAGCGAGCCATGTTATGAGTCATAAATAAATTTAGAGGCACCAACAACACAATGACAGTTGACTTGAATTAGCAGACACCAGTGAGCTCCAGTGCCGGTGTAACTCACTGGGTAAAGCAGGGATCTCATGTGCCGTAAGGCTAATGCCTCAGGTGGACATGAGAGGAGGGCCAGCTTTTGGCTGAAGGTTGCTGCTCGGTCCTTGGTCCCTCTGTGAAACAGCGAGTTAATCTCATGTGTGCTGCACAACACGCTGCCCACAGGCCTCTCCTGCTTCGTTTAATGGACTCTCCTTTAAATCTGCTTTTCTGGCTCATCAGGAGGAATCTGAACTACTAAACCCTCCTTTCAGAAACAGAAAATCCTGAAAACATTTCTGGATATTTACTACAGTGAGCCCAGTTTAACAGGTGATCTCGCTTTAAGTATCATCCGTGGGAATGTTTGTGTTTTGCCGTCACACAGACTCCTGCTGGGGTTTGCTCACCTCCTTAATCACCGGGGTCTAGCCCTGACACACTGACTAGCATTCACAAACAGATGTGTGCTTGGAAACCGGGAGGCGCTCATTCCTCCGAGTTTATCGGTAAATACATGACATCATGTGTTTCTTCAGCCCGTCAGCAGCACTTCAAGAGAATCGCGAAGAATCCCCGAGCGCCTCGGGTCCTCATATTTAATTGGTTTATTCCGAATCCCTGGAAAATAAAGAGGAACGGCGTCTGAACTGCTTCAGGGCATCAAAACCAGTTCTGCTCGCAGTGAATCACCAGCCTCCCTCCCACCTGCCGACACATGTGCTCGCTCATGTGAAGAAAGTCATGCCCGGACACGGCCCGAACGGCTCGTCCACGCGTTTCACGCCACGCTCTCATCACCGGCTTAGACCGAATGAGCGCTCTGAAGACCTGAACGGGTCCTCAGGTTGTTTACACCCACACTGACAGACTGAAGCAAACAGCCTCAGACTGTAATTTGGGAGTTTTCCTAACTCTCCGTCTAACTCTGGGCAGCGTTTGATCAGGTCGGACCTTCGGCCTCAGAGTGACGTCTTTCATGGATAGCACCTGGCTGCTGCCTGAGTCATGTTCAAACCAGTCCAACCTCGCGGCCCGGCCCGGTGCAGCCTGAGCACAGCTGGATACGACGGCTGGTCTGAATCACGGCAAACCCACGCTAGGATTAATCATTACCTGTTCACGGTTAGCCAACGACCGCAGGCAGGAAGCGGGTTTTTAATTGTTGGATGCCGGCGTTGAAGGACTTAAAATTTTATTTTCTCAATCACGTTTTTATTATAAGCTCTGCGCTCCTGCACAGCCTCACCACAATAAACGATTTCACTGAGAATTTTTCTCATCTTGTTGTTTATCGTTTGCTCTGGGCTCTTTTCTCACCGGGTTAAAAATAGGCCTCTTTTGTAATAATGTGAAACCAACCTCCCAGTTACACATTACATAACAACACTGTCTCTGTGTTTGTTCTTGTCTTTAGTTTTCTAATTTTTGGATGTTTCCGTCTGTCTGTGCCGTCACCAGTTCACAGCGCTCTCTGTCTGTATACTGAATATTACAGTGGCCAGCGGTCAGTACGGCTGCCCGCTCATGGCAAAAACATCATTTATTTACCAAAATTATTAAAGAACACCATCTTTTTTGTTTTTAAAGGGGCATTCCTTTAACTTTAAACATGATTCAAATGAAATACATTCGTTTGAATTGTTAAAAAGAAAATGTGGGTTATTAAGCAGAGACCAGAGCCCAGCGGTGTTTTACAGATGAGCTGAATATGAAGCCTTCTCACACCTCACAGGAAGAAGGTTGTGGGTTTGAATCCAGTGGCTGGTTGGCTATGTGGTTTTTTTGTGTCCACACAGGACTATGAGTGTTTCACTCTCTTACTCCTGTGATACTGACGACCTGTTCAGGTCTTCCTTCTCCGATAATAACTGGATAGACCAGGTTCTAAATATCGTCGCCCAGTTTGACAACAAAGAAAGAAAACCTCACTCAGATATTTTAACTGAATCTTTCTCTTTGCCTCCCAAAGCCAGCCAAGTTTCGCAGGAAGGCCACGAGATAAATACGTCCCATTGTCTATTAAGAAACTTGACGGTTAAACTAGTTTTAAAGAATGAGCTGTGTTTGTAAACCAGGGTTGTTATGATGCTAGATTTTCAATATCAGGAAAACCCTTGAAGTGTGATGCCATTTTCACTTCCACGGGTGAAAAGCATGGTATAAAATTAAGAGACAAATGTATTACAAACATATTAAATAACATCAATGATGACACTATCTTTAAACTGTAAACCAAACACCCCACAGTCAGCACGGTGGTGGGGGGATGACGATTTGGGCATCTTGCAGCCTCTGAGTTGATGATGAGCTTCTCTTTATTATCAGTCAGATGTGACTCAGCAGCAAATCTACAGCAGACTGGCTGAAAAGGAAAAGAACGGAGGAGCTGCAGTGTCCCGGTCAAAGTCCAGACCTCACTCTGACTGAAATGCTGTGGTGGGAAGAAGAAGAAAATGCCTCCACAGCGATGTTAAAGACTGTTATTTGAAGTTAGACCTGCTAAAGGTGACTGTACAAGTACTGGGATGTACTTTGTTTGTCTCAGGACTTGAGTTTTTTCCAGAGTCCTGGGAAAACTTTCTTTTTCTCATGGCTGCATAATATTGAGTACTGTTTCATAAATGCATCAACATGCAGAAACCTGCAGAAACTGAACGACACGCCCCATTAATCACTGACTTTAAAGAAGGCTTCTCACAGAAAACCTGAAACATGCTGGAAGGATTTCACGCTCCAATAAAAATATTTTCTATTAGAATTTAGAGGATATTTGAAAAAACTTTATGAAACTCAGCACGCTTGAAGATGAAGATGAAGATGGGGTAAAAGAAGCTGGACGTCGCAGATTTTTGGGCTCACAGTTTCAGACACTCGCACTGACCACTCATTTAAAGAGAAAGGAAAACAGATGCAGGTTCTGTGTCACAGAAGCACTTTTTACATCTCACCTCTCGTTTGTTGGTACGAGTCTCGCTCCTGCCCGTCCTCAACATGGATGCTCCCGTTTCCTGCTCTTTCCTGGTGGCCTCCGATCTGTTTTTGCTGGAAAACAGGAAGAGCTGATTAGATTCTCCTTCCACTCAGGTTCAAGGACCTTAACGGGATCCTATACTAGTCTGTGGATGCTCTCCTGCTCACATTCATCCTCCGGGATTTCAAAAGGTCAAAAATGGCATTTTTCTATTAAATCGAGGCAAAAGTCACCAAACAGAAGAACTATAAACCCAGACCTGTGGTATTCATATAGATAAGGACACATGAGGCTGTGTCACCTTTAAAGTAAACCTGGATGAACCTGAAATGAACTGAGTGTTTCTTCTTGTCATGTCCAGCACACTGTGGGGGCTTTTTATAAGAGGCCGGTTTCTTTAACTCCTTTCTGAATGTGAGGATTTGGTGGGTTCAGACACTTCCGTGCCCTCAAACTGAGGTTCGTTCCCTGACTGGCAGGCAGACTGTCAGTGTTGAGGTCCTGAGAAACAATGCCGAGGATATCTAATTACACCAGCGTTTTGGAATTTCTGACCTTATTTGGGGGGGAGGGATAAGGATTTTGTGTTTTCGTTTCCCAAAAAGGCAACAAGAGCGAAGAGCTGACATGATTTCTCCTCACGTGACCCGTTCGCATGCTGCTGGGGCACAAACTGGGAGGGTTTCTCTTGGCTAAATATAAAAATGCAGCAGTCAGATCTCTAATGGAGGGGTAGAGCGTGAGGCTTTGATCTGCCGTTTAGCGGTGTGTGATGCCTGTTCGGCTTTATGCTGGGGGAGGCATTGGATGTCCTTTGTGCTAATTGCTTGCACATTTCTCTGCCAGTGCACTTTAAATGGCTCTGATGAGTTACCCACAGATTACACACAAACATAAATAAGAAAAGAAAAAGCTGCTTGCTCCAAAACACGAAGATTTATGTAATCATAAGATGTTTAAAATGAGCAGGAAGCAGCTTCGCTTCTAACCTCCCGTCCTGCCTTCGGTTCTTGTTGTTTGCTGATGTTTGGATGTTGTTGGCTTCAGTCAGCCGGTTGTTTCTGCCGGTGTCGGAGCTTTCAGAGGCCGCCAAGTCTGAAGAACCGACCGAGCTGCCGAAGCCGGCTGAGGTCAGAGAGCCCCTGGGGTCCAGGCACAGGTAGGAGGAGGCGTTGCCTGGAGATAAAACCAACACAAAAAAGTTTCAGACTGTTAGATCATCAGAGAGCAGGAACATCAAACCACAGCTTGGTTTAAGTCCACGAAATTAGGCGTCCCTTTGCCATAAAACCTCAGCCAAGCTTTATTCACAAACCACAAATCATTTCACTCATCCCAACCTTCTCCCGCCGGCTTTTAAGGAAACACCAACACATCAGTGTTTTACCTCATTCAGCACCATTTAAAATAACAAAAATCACAGTTTTTTACCACTCTGATAAAAAGAACAATGTCAAGCTGATGCTTTATATTCAGACTTTTATCAGCTTGTCATCACTGCATCAGTTCAACAGTGCGATAAGCCATAAATCACAGGGTGAAAGGAAAATCACTGCCCCTTAAAATCAGCAGATTTTCACTCTGCAGTAACTGTGTAGTGTACCTTCACACTACACAAACAGTCTGAGTTACAGGCCTTCAAATACACAAATCTGTCACTTTCTTCTCTTCAACTTTTTCAGCTGCTTTCGACTTCCTACAGTTTCTGCTACACATTCAACCCACTTCCACCCCAGCTCCACCTTTTCTTGCAGTTTCTGTAATAATTTGTGTCACATAGGCAGCTCTGCATATGGAAATAACCTTCCTTTGGCTGCGTCTGAATGAAATTATTTCTTTCTTTTTTTCGCGACGAGCAAATGAATTAAGCAGAAAGTTAAATCCGATCATTCTGTGTCTATTTTTAATGACTTTAAAGCAGCTTCTCTTGGGAAAAACACGCAGAAAAAGTCATGCAGATGGTTCAGGTGTTTTCGCTTCCTCCCCATTGTGGAGAGGATAATCCCACATTTAGAGTTAATGCTGTAAAGTTGCTATGGTAGCATCAACAGAGAAGTACTCTGTTTACTGTATGACAGCCTATTAATCATTTTGTTTTGGCTGCTACGATACAAAGAGACCGTTAACACTGACAACACTGTGAAAGCGCAAAAATAAAAGCAAAGCCCGACTAAAGAAGCAGAAAAGACAGATTTCAAAGATTTCCTGTCGAGTTTAAGTCAGTAAATTTTCTCTAATGTGCAGGTCTTAATTTAAGTATTCAACTTAGGAAGCTTTGTGGGGATATATGTTACTCATGCAGTGTTGGAAGGGTTATCAGGCCCTTTGTAAAGATCCATAATTCGACAGTGAGAAAGAGTCACGGGTGGAAAATATTCAAGACACTTTGCAGTTTTTCCCAGGAGTGGACGTCCCAGCAAATTCACCCCAAGGTCAGGTAATACTCAGGGAAACTGTAAAAGACCCAAGAGCTCCATCTCAGACTCTGCAGGCCTCTGTCAGCATGTTAAAGGTTAAAGTTCATAACAGTCCAACTAGAAAACGACTGAACAGGTGCGCGTGTTTGGAAGTGTTGCCAGGAGAAAACCGCGGCAGCATGGTTTAGTTGGCAAAGCTGCATCGACTTCTAGAACAACGTGCCGTGGACAAGCGAGGCCAATGTGGAGATGTTTGACCACGGGACCTGGGCCCCTTGCAGTCACTGACTCAATCACGAACTCCTGTGTAAACCAAAGTATTCTAAAGTCAAGCGTGAGGCGTTCTGTATGGCAGCTAAAGCTTGGAGCAAATGAAACAGGACAATGATCCTCAGCACAGCAGCAAATCTCCAACCTGACTGAAGAGCTGTGCATTAATTAAGGACTGCAAACTTCCATAAACTGAAGCCACACTGCAAACAAGACTGGACCAAAGTTCACGTTTTCTGCCGATACTGATAAAGTCGTACAGAAAACGATTGTTTTGTTGCTGGTAAAGGTGGTTCTACAGGCCGCCAAAAAGCCAGGCGCACTTTTTTCACAGGACTGCACATTCACCAAACGTTTAAACATTTTATTAAAGACAAAAGAAAATCCACTCCGTAAAAAACTAAAAAAAACTTTGACATGTCAACAATATGAAACAACAAGTCTGAACTCGGGTTTATCGGATTTCTGTTTGCCTAGTCTGGAAACAAAGAAAGCATCAGCATGTACTGATTAGTGTACTTCTTGAACATTTATTGACAGGCAAAACAATCGAGCCACAAGCCGTCATCATCATAACTGATATCTGTTCAGTGCAAAGGTAGAAGACTCCCCTTTAAGCTGATTTAAGAATAAGTGGATCCATTGTGATTTTACGGTTGCCGCTAACCCTTATTTGTAGCAATAAGTCTGCCGACTATTTATTTAATTATTCCCTGAACCTGCACAACTAACAGTCAAGTTTTACGATCTTTTATTTTTGTCTAAAAATGGTTGAGAGCATCTGTAGAGCCATTTTAAAAGTATTTGTTTCTGAAAACGCAGAGCTTTTAAACTGGAAGGTCAAAGAATCAACTGACTGAAATCTCAGCTGATGTGTTTGTTTCAGTAAACATTAGAAATCTCCAAATGTTGAAAACATAATGAAATGGGATAAATGTGCAAAAGAAATTAAAAAACTGGATGAGTTCCCCAGAGGAGAGCCTGTTAAGCAGGGGAATCCTGACAGAGGGAGCTTTGTGTTTAGCCTCCATCTCTCTAATGAAGCAGCCTGTAGTCAGAGTCAGCAGGAGTTAATCCAGACCTTCATTATGGGACCTTTCCAGACTATGCAACAAGCCTGATGCCAGATGGGCACTCGTGTCCATTTTGTCGCAGCCTGAAGCTCCAGCAGGGAAAAATACCTGCCCTGTGCCGAACATCAAGCCCATTAGGACTTGTTTAAGAGGCCTTGGAGGGCTCATGTCTGCCGTTTGGCTTTTATGATGCCTGAAGGTCAGAGGCTCAGGATTTCCTGCACATCTCTCCAAGTAACTCCACTTCCTGTTAAAACAGAAACTCATCCAGCCCGTTCCCCCGACTGCCCGCGAGTGAGCGCTCAGCCGGTACGCCTGGTTAGAGGAGGGTTAAACGAAATGGACAAATAAAAATCTGCGAGTGTGCGAACATCTGCAGGACGTTAGGATGGTGCGAGAGGACAGGAAACGGCTGTGATTGGCTGATAGACATGAAAGCCTGTGTGTGTGTTTGTATGGTTTCCTCCGCTGCACCTGCAGGGGTCCGCTCAGGGCCCAGATGCTCGGTGTCCGTGACAGTCCAGATGGGAGTCGCATCTGGCCCCCCGTCCCGCTGGTCTTCCTGCCACTGGCCGGGCTCTGGGCGGTCCCTCCCCGAGGATGGAAAACTCGGATCGGTTGCTACCATTTTTGCTGGACTGGGCTCCTGAAGTTTGTTAGAGAGACAAAGAAAATTCACACTTTTAACATTAAATGAATACAGGTACAATAATGTGGCTGTAAATTAACAGTTCATGTTTGAAAACAGATTCTGTACAATAACAGACACTTTAAACGTTCTCATATGCTTCATTCTGCTCTAAATACAAATTTTTTAGACACTGTTTTCTACTCTTGTCACTGTGTCTCTGTGATGTCATGGAGGGGGGATATGCCTAATTTCTGACCACAGATCCACGAACCACCTGCTGTTTAGGAGGGGCAGCCAATCGGAGGAAAGCTGGCTTAAACGGGGAGGAGCTAAAACACATTATTTCAGAGTATTTTCAAACAGAGGATGAACTGAGGGGCTGCACTGAGGCTAAGAGTCAGATAAATAAGGATTATTTTGATCTGTGAATCATGCAAAGCTGGTTTACTGTTACATATTTTAGAAAGTCACCATGAACTCCTCTGATTTCACTCAGAGTTCTCTAAACTCTTTTCTTCTGTCTTCATTTGGAAATGAAGTTGAAACTTTCAAAGGCATCAGAAAGTTTCTTCCTTGGTGTTTCTTTCAGGTTTTCACTGAGGAAGTATCGTCTAAACGTCTCCTGACAGGTGATTATTTACTGGCACATTTGTGGTTTTCATCTTAATAAGACCAGTCTTGATTCTTTGGTATAAACTTGTCTGAAATAAGCCTCATAATCAGCATGCATGAACACAAAAACTGGACACTTTAACACATGAGCACAATACCTGGTTGGCCACAGGCTCAACTTTGCGTTTCTTCTTCTGATTCTGTTTGTGAGTTCGCAGATAAACTGCCAGCTGCTCACTCCACCTGGAGACAAAACATGACACAATGCCATCAGGACGCCTCTAAATGTAATTCTTTTCAAAATAAAAGCCTCCAAGTAGGTATAGAAAGCTACCAGGATGACAAGAGGTATGTGAGAGTTTCTAAATGTGAAGCCCTATTTAGATCAGAGTTGTCACGCTCATTTGATCTTGAGGAATGAAACTGAGCTTTCTCTCATTGTAATAAAGTTTAACTACACATTTCATCTTAATGTAATAATAAGCAGAGTAATTTCAAAAATCTATTTCAGTTTTTGTACATGATAAAAAATCCTTTTGCAGTAAATGAAAGAAATATGTCAACATGTCTCTTGACTTAAATTGTCAAAAAAAACAAACCTACTGATAAAAATGGAAAAAACAGGAACTTATTAAATGTATGAAAAAGCCGTTAAATGTCCGGGTGGCCTTCCATAGCCATCCAGTGGGCCAGACTGTAGATTTTACTGGGCTGATTTTGGTCCCTGAGTCTTATGTTTGACATAAAACAAGACCTGAGTTAGACGAATTTATCAAAATGCACTTATATGTCCAGTTTTCAAAACAAAAGACTGTAGTTAGATACAGGAAGCAATGAAGATGCTTCAAGGCTGTCAGAATTTCAGAATAAAGGCCCTTAGTTATTCATAGTAAATTACCGCTGGCCTTTAACATGCCAACTTTTCAAAATAAAGGCTTTTTTTTTCAACTTATGTTTTCAAGAAAGCTTCTCCCTTTTTGCTCATTTGTGCCCACACATGTCAGCAATCTCTTTTTTTAACGCTACTCTGAGGTTTTTATACCGACCCATTAATGATGTCTTTATTGTCACCACGGATGAATACTTCCTGCTCTGGGGTGACGATGCAGAGGGCGTTCTTCTGGCCCGTCCTGGGCTCTGCATCGAAGATGTCTGCGCACACGTTCACGTTCACCGTCCCCTGTGGCAAAGTGCTGGGCTGCAGGAGAATCAGAACATCCAAATTATTCCTCCAGGGGTCAAAGAGCGAGTTAAGACGTCATGTTTACTAAAACTTCAGATTATGGCCGCTAAACAGAAAGCAGTTTGTGGTGTGAAGTGTGGAATGAAAGGGAACGGGATTTAAGGGGATGACAGAGAAACAGAGAGGGGGGATGTGTGCATTAAAGGACGGGCTAAGCCCACATCATCTGCTGTGGTTGTGTGCACAACATCTGGCTTAAAGATGCCTTCTGGATCCCAACAAAACATACAGTAGATGCAGATGCATGCACAGGCTGGGGCTTACTGTACACTCCGTGTTATGTTTTATGTTTGCATTTGTTTGTAATTTTAGTATCTGTGCTGTTTCTCACCAGCTCATCCAGAGCGAAGCTCAGGCTGCCGTCCTCGTACAGGATAAAGAAGCGCCGCTGCCATCTCTGACGATGAAGGACAGGAAACTAAAATCACCACAGGATCACACTAATGCCACACTCGTGTGTTTTTTAAAAAGTTGACCTACCCTTGACCTCTGCATCGGGTTGTTAAAATCTGTCCCCTCTGGAGCCAAACACAGCCAGCCTGCATAGATGGGTTTGGCCTGGAAGGACACAGGACAGTGATGTCATATATTAGTCAGTGTTTTGAACTGTGTGGATTTGATGCCTGTTGTTATTGTTGTGGGATTTGAACCTGTAGTCTGACAACAGAAACATGTACAAACCCGCCAAAAACACCTTCTGTGACGTCGTGGATCTGTGGGCTCTTTGTTTTTCCTCTTTCAATATTCACATGTTTGTTTGTTTGGTTTTTAATTTAGAAATATAAAGCGTCTCAGCAGGTTTAAACTTTTTTTCTGAGTGACAGTACGTCAGTGATCCAGCACTTTGTAGAACCACCTTTAGCAGCAATAACCTGATGCATGGGTAGCCACAAAACTATATCACAATATTTCAAGAAAATGTGTAATAATGATATTTATGAACATTGAAGAAAACACTGGCAGCGCTCAGTGGTACCCCTCAGCCTCCTGATAGATACACCTATGGGATTAATTTGAAACTCCTACGTCGCTTCGTTCTTGAGTTATCACATTCAGAAACTTGGGTTTCCACTTTACCCACCTGCCCGCCCTGCCGGCAGCGTGGCGCCAATATCAGCCTTTTACATCTGACAGATAAAAAGAACCTAACAGTGTTTTATCGGAGACTGCAGCTCACAGGCAGCAGAGCAAAACAAAGGGCATTTTCAGTCCATGTTCTCTGATGAGACAGAATAACTCATTCAGCAGCACTGTAGTGCAATAACAGTGCCACAGCATAAGTCAGATGTAAGCACATAAATAGCCTGGGATGTGTTTCCCCTGGTAATTTTCAGTAAAAGTACAGAATAACTTATTCAGACTTTAGTTTAAATTTACAAAAACAACCTTGTAACTCTTCAGGAGCTGCACAAAACCCTCACAACAAAACAGAATCACACATATCTCAGACTTGCATGGTTGTGGGGGACGTCTGGCCCACTCGTCTTTACGATGTCACTTCAGTTCATTAAGGTTTGCAGCACTGCTTTACGTTCAGCTGTCTGCAGGTCCGACCACAGAGTCTCAGTCAGTTTGAGGTCTGGACTTTGAGTTATTCCACCACCTTGAGTCTTTTCTTTATCAGCTGGTGTGTTTTGGATTATTCTCCTACTCAATCACCCAGATTGCCTCACATCTGACTCTAGAACACGTTGGTATGAGGAGTTCACAGTCTACTGAATGAACACAAGGTGCTCGAATCTTCATCCTTCCACCACTGAGCTGACAGTTGGTATGAGGCATTGATATGTTGATATGATAAGTCTGGTTGCGTGCATTGTGGTCAAACATCTCCTCTTTACTCTCATCAGTCTAAAAACATTGTTCCAGAAAGCTTTGCAAACATAAGCCCTACATATATTTTCATTTATCCTGGACCTCTTCCAAATCATCCACACTTGTTCAGTCTCTTTCTAATTTTACACTCATAAACTTGAACATTTATCCTGCTAGCTGAGGCCTGTAGAGACTGAGACGGAGTTCTTGGGTCTGAGCATTGATCAGTAGCACCTGGGTGGTGTTTGCCCTCTAAGTGAGGTTGTACTTAGTTTTCACTTTTAACTCATGCCATGCTTTACACATTCGCCTAACAAGCAAAAGATCCCTGGTTCTGATTCCATGGGGAGACACAAATCCCCTTAGGATTCAGTCAGGAAGGACATCTGGCCAAAAGAAAAAAAAATCTGCTGTATCAAACATGGTGAGCTACCCGCTGTGGTGACCCGAAAGTATTAAATAAACATATTTATATTCTTTGTGCTTCCTCCTGTCTCAGACACTTGGGTTCTTTTGTTTTCAAAGTCATTTTAAACATTAAAACGCTGGGGAAAAAGTGCCACAATTACAGCAAAACAAGGTGGTTTTCTCTGAGCCTGCAACGTCACTGGAAAACCGTGTGTGGTGTTTGCAGGTTTGATGAACGGTGTTGAAATTACAGGGCCCGGCAAAAGCAGGCGGGAGGGGGGACACAAAGTGATGGCATATTTGAACAATGTGAGGCATGTAGGAAGCTGTCACTATCACCTCCTTACATCACCTCGCCTTCATAAGCGTGTTTTCAGTCCTGACATGTTTTGCTCAGCACTAAGTACACAGGGCTGAAGCACGCCTGGTAAAAAGATGATGTAATTTATTTTTTCCTCAGGCTTTTGTTTGACAGATTGATGCATTTAAAAAATTTACAAGTAACAGAAAACCAATGAATTCCCAGTCTTTCCTTCATAAACAGAATTAAATGAAACTACAACTACAGGTGAAGGCATCTTTTATTCCACTAGATTTGCTTAGTAACTATTTATAAGTATTGATCCCAAAATACAAAGCAACAACCCTAACAGCACACCTTTAACTGGAATAACAGTTAACAGAATTAACAGTAAACACTATCTATGCATTGATGCATCAGTCTTAATCACATCATGTAATTTAATCAGAGTTCATTTACATATTCGGGTTTCCAAAGACTGCTACTCTGCAGAACAATGGGATAAGGGACTGCAGGGAGGTTACTGTAGTGGGGCTGGGTGGTGAAATCACAGAATTAGTCATGACTTTTAATCTATTCTGGGTGCAGAGTTTCAATTTTTGTTTCTCCCTTGTCCTAGGAAACTCATTACCCAGCCCTATTTTTGCATTCCTGAATCATAGCTGTGGAAGCATTTTTCACATAATAAAACAAACCCCGATCCCTTACCACCTACCTTAGTTATTAATTTGGACACAGCTCCTAACATTGATGAAATGGTTTAAAAATGAACTAAAAACTTAAAGTCAACATTTCTTTTTAAGTTTTTTACATTTGTAATATTTTAGGCTATATAAAATTATACCATATAATCTAAAAGTAAAGAAAAATCATGTTAAAATAAATAAATAAATAAATAAATAAATAAAGAGAATATGTTACATAGTAAATCTAGAAATCCATTAATTAAAAACGTAATAAAAAATAAACCGCTGGTTTGGTAAAAATAAAGATTAAATAACTTTAAAAGTCTGATTTTTATGCCGAAGACCACGGAAAATAAGTTTTATTTATAGTTTATAGTTTTATTGTGGACCTTTCGACTTGAAGGGAGGCTGATGTGGGACTTTTATATATTCTGGGAGACATGGGACACTTTGAATATATAGACTTCCTGACACGAACATTTCAGAGATAAAATAAAACAAATTATGACCTTTTCTGATTCTTTTACTGATCAACCAAAATGAAATCTTAAAGTTAGCATCTTCATATTAAATATTTGCATGTTTTTAGACTAAAGCTGGCGGTTTAATGATAACATTTTTTTTATCCAGAAAGCTCACTAATCCAAACAAACGTGGCTAAACGTTATGACAGGAGCACCTGAGGTGATCGTGAACTCACCTGCTCCAGGTCGTGGTCGTTGAGCAGATGGAGCTCGCGCGACTTGAAGCAGTTCTGACATTTGCTCTTATTAAAAATATTCGCCTGGAACTTGCTGCAGGGAGTCGCCGCCGCCTTTTCCCCGGACATGTTTCGGTGAGCGCCGCTTCTCCTCCGCGGGGACAGATCCAGACACGGCCCGCTCTCCTCCTCCTCTTCTCGTCTCCCAGTTTAGTAAAGCGGTTTCTCCTCGAACAACATCTGTCACACTGAGCCGCGCGCTCCTGTCGTCATGGCCTCTGACGTGATACCGCCACTCCGCTTCCGATCGAAACCTTCAGAATAAAGCTGGTTTTTAACGGTTTGTTTTAGCTTTAAGATAAAACACACTGCTAAAAAAACACATACAGCTATTACACATCCATTAAACCGTAATGTTTTATAAAAAAAGAGAAAGGTAGAGTTTACAGCGTCATCTACTTCTCTCACAGCGGCTTAAGTAAGACCTGCGCGCAACTTCCGGCTTACACCTACAAAGTAAAATCGATTATTAATGGAGTTTCCTTCCTTAATTCTTAATTTTTACAGAAATTAATATTAATTAACTAATAATGATTGATTAATAATTAATTATGTTTAAAACAACATATATTTGAGCAAAGTTGAAGATAAAGTTTGAAAAAAACAAAGCGGCGAAATCACCTCACCTT